ACAAATGCTATCTATTATTACCTGAATGAAGACGATGGCTTAAAGCTGAGTATCATTGTAAAACGTGTTTACTGATCAACAGCCAAAGATCAGACTATCAAGCTACACCTATGACATGTAATATGTGGCACTGCACCGGGTACATGCACTTCACACTTCACAACTTCACACGTTTCGTACTGCTAGCCTCGTTGTTCCAGGATATTATTCAAACCAGTGAATTTGTGACTGAATTATCCCCCCTCCAAAAGAAAAGGTTGAAACGGGAATTTATAAGAACGATCAAGTTAATTCAGATAATAATATGTCATTGTTTCAGTTGTAGTAAACGGATCCTACGACATAAGCATTCTTTTTCTCTAACGTTTGATGTGTTTTGAGTTCTAAATGTGATCATTTGTGCACATAAATCATTTATCTTATCTCCCTTTGTTTGTTAGGGACGAAAATGTTGCAAAACGTAAACAAATGTGGCCAGGTCACGGTTTTGGTTTGTTTTGTTTTTTGGCGCAACTAGGGGCACCCACTTTCAGTGAACAGGGCCGCAGTGTGATACATGACTTGAAATTAGCCAAAAGACTGGCATCTCCTGATAATTAAATTATGTAGAGTTTCTTTCCCTGCCTTCAGAGATCAACCATTGACACTCGGATACAACACCCATAAAGTTACCCCTTTTTAAACTGCCTACAGTGGGTGTTGCATTCAACGAGGTTTTGCCAGGACCTCGCTTGTTGTCCTCGTTGGATCCGACCTCTCGTTGAACGTGACTAAGGCTAAAGAAAAGAAAGTAGACACGTTATTATATTATTACACGAGGTACCAATACCAGTAATTAAAACAGCTGTTCCCCCTGATGATGAAAATCTCAAACAGCATCTGTGTTCGTGTGTTTGAGCTGTGTTCTGACCCTCATTTCTGAATTTTTAAATATTTTTTTCCGGAACACTTCCAGTGTGGAAACATACCCTCTCACGTCTAGGCTTAGGTCTACGTAATAAAGTTAAGGCGGGAACTTACATTTCCTGATCGGGTGAAGCAAAAAAAATGAAGAAAATGAAGGTCTTGAGTCTCTCTAGACTTATTCTAGACTTACCCATCCAGAGTTCATCCAGTTTCCCACAGCCCGCATCGCGTTCCCACCCACCCCCTCCCATCCCTACCGTAGGCTAACCCTCGCCAATCCTCTTGGCTTTGGGGCCCATATTATTATATTAGGAGGCACACTAGATCTAGCAATACAATGTGTTAGTGTTAGGAATCGAGGATGGGCCTTGTGCTTCGCGTGAGATAGAGAGAAAGGAGAAAAAATTCTTCGCTTTCGGGGCCGCTAATTGCTTTTATTTGGTTATCGCAACCTCGTTAAAAGCGACTTCGGTCTGTTTACAACCTCGTTGGAGCTGACGTACATTTACAAAGAGATATAGAGGAAAAATCGTGCCTCGTTGGAGCCGACTTCTCGTTGAATG